AAGTTGAAATAGTGATTTCATAATGACGTTTGTTACAGAATAACAATTTTTGTGTAACTGTTTACTATATAGATACCTTCATTGCATTGTATAATAGCAATATCTATGTGCTTATTGTATTTGAAAAAAGTGTTTAGATGAGAGCTAGCATCACAATATACAATACTCGTTATTGTATGAATATTGGAGAAACGATTACGTACAACTTGTGATAAATAGTTCAATCTTTGTCAAATATTTTTTATTCTTAATGACTATTTTTAGTGTCATTTCTTCACTGTAAATATAATTTTAAAGATATCTATAAATGTAATGCTTAAGGAAAGTACGTTGTTCATAGTATAATAATGAAACTTTGAATAATCGTAGTTGACGATTATTAAAAACTTTTGCCAAATGTACATTATCATGTTGTCTTGTTCGGACAACACAGACGAAATTAACCTATAATAATAGTTTATTAATTTGATAAAGATTGTTCCTATTATCATACTTTGTACCGCTTTAACGAACATGTCCCACCCTCAGGTATTATGTAGATGAGCAAGTCATTGAATATGGTCTGACGTTTTTTTTTGCGAAATATTTTATGATATAATGAAAACTGTTAAAAAATGAAAACTTGTGCTGATTTAGACTAAATTTTGACGTTACAGAGGAGACTGACCTCACACTAGTCTCCAATTTGTTAGACCACAAATATTTATTTCTCATTTGATTTTGTATTTGTGATTACGATTTATAAAAGTAAATGCTAGAAGAAAATTGATTACATGTTTTATATGATATTTTAAATGTGAAGATGTGTAAATATGCTAAAAACAAAAATAGACGTATTCAATTATTTATAGAGTTATTATTTGAAACACCATATTTTACAAAACTGTACAACCTATTCGATTAACCCAACAATCTGGAAAATATTTTTGTAATTTTAGGTGTGTCTGCGCATTCATTGGTAGCCTTAAGTGCTTCATGTACAAATTTTGAAAATACTTTCGTTTTCCCGCGCTTAAATTTTGCAACGAGTTTTGGATTTTTGTTCATTATATCCAAACACAATTTCTCCAATTCTTTTTCATCCGTGATCATGAACCAATTATTCTCCTCTACGATCTGTTGATAACAAATTTTAATAAATACTCATTTTTTTACAGAATGTAACATAACTTTGATATTTTCAAAAATTGTTTTTACCTGTTTCGGTTCTTTTTCTTGCTTCTCGAAGAATATTTTTAATACTTTATGCAATATGTTGTGATTTATCTGTTTATTTTGCAATAAGTCCACCATCTGTCCAAAATGATCTATATTGTCCATGCTAAAATTTAGTATAATAATATTTAATTAATAAATTGCGTATAACAATAATTTTTTATTTTTATTTTACTGTAGCGCACTTACACAAATTTGATATCCAATTTATTGTGTTGTATAAAACCTATGAAGTGAGTTAACATAACTTGTGCTGTTAATTGTGGGATACGATTTTTATCTTTTTTTATTAAAGTACGAAATAATTCTAATATTTCTAGATCACTCTAAAATATAAAAAATAAAAATAGTTATTATTTAAGTTTACTAAAGTTATTATTTAAACTTATTAAAGAATGAAGATTTTGTTAAAATATATTTGAAATGCATCACCACTTCGTGCATGTGAATTACCATTACTGCTAAGATCATATGAGGTGTGAGACAAGAATCCATCAATTTTTTCCTTATTTCTCCTGGCAATTCAGGCACTTGCTTTTTCATTGCCGGCCCATCAACAAAATTATACTTGTTTTCTGTATTTTCATCAACGTGTATGCGTAAAAGAGGTAAATTTGGTTCAGGCATAAAACGGTAGTCCTAAAATTATTTTTCATTCCTTTTATAAAGAATGTTCTGAATAATAGTAAACATAATTATTGATAAATAAATGCGTTACATGATTATCTTCTTTTTCACGCATGATGATTGTCTTTTTTTTTAATACATCCCATGCTCGAGTCTCGTTAATAACTCGACCTCCATCTTGTAGAAGCAATATTTGTCTTTTTATTTCATATTCAACAGCATTACAAATGGCGCGCACGCTACCAATATTTTTTATCTCTGTACGAGTGCCTAGAGGTTCATTTTCTTTGCTTACAGAGACATTTGCATCCACTCTCAAAGCCCCCTCTGTATTTACAAACATATAATTAAAAATTTTAAAGTATCCATTAATAGCAAATGATTACTTTAAATAGAATAATTGTTTATATATATATATATATAACCTTCCATTTTACATGAACATACGCCTATTAATTGTAAAATCATTGACAGCTCCTTTACAAGTGCTGCTGCCTCCTCCCCATTTGTTAAATCTGGTTCAAAGACTAATTCCATCAAAGGCACTCCAGAACGATTAAGATCAATTAAACTCCTATTACAAATTAAACAAAAGAAAGTTTCACTCATAATCCCATTAGAATTATTATCTTGCTATACTGTTATCTTACAAAATAGAATTCGATATAATCAGTACTTTCCAAGTTCTTCATGGTGGTAACTTCTTCCACTGTCTTGCTCTAATTGTATTTGCTTGATCATGGATGATTTCATATATGGTTCTTTATGTATCGATGGATTAAATACCATAAAATTAATTTCCCCATTCACGGCTAAGGGTTTTCTGTGTTGTGTAATTTGGAATCCTGCCTATATAGAATATTGATCACCTTAATAGCTATAACTTTAAATGGATTCGATTAACTTGTCTATTTTACTGTATTCTATGAATAACGCTACAACTTTTGCATTTCTTTTTATAATATTAAATACTTACAGGTAAATCAGAATAAAAATAATGTTTTCTTTCGAACATTGAAACATTCTGTAATTCGCAGGACAATGCTAAAGCAGTTAATACTCCAGTTTCTACACACTTCTTATTTAATACCTATAACGAGGGTACAATGGAAAAATATGGACAAAATTAAATTTGTTTAAAAATGTTTATTATACTTTACCGGCATTGTTCCTGGTATTGCACAATCAAATAGTGATACACAAGAATTAATTGGACTATTAAAATCTGTTGAAGCTCCAGAAAATAATTTTGAAGTTGTCGCAATTTGTGCATGAATTTCTAAACCTATCGTAGGTTT